TGGAAGGTGAGCAGGTGGACATGGAAGATGACCAGGTGGACATGGAAGGATCTTAAAGCCCCACCTGTCTCCAAGGTACAACTAACATAGCATTACGTACAATAGGTGTTTCAGTTGTGCTTATAGTTCTTCCCAAATTTCGTGTGTAAATCATTCAAGACTCTACCAGTAAACCTCACACACACACTTTCTCACGTCTATAAATTCCATATAATTTTTCCCATATGGTATGATATATTTTTTTTCCTGTATTCATGCCAACAGTTGCCGGAGAATGGGAAAAAAGCCGTCTGTTTTTCTCTTCTTGACTCACACACTTAGATAATATGCGATAGTCCTTAATTTAGATAGAAAGAGATAATTCTTCTCAGCAGATAGACTGGGTGTGTTCTTCCAACTCCTCTGTCTATCTGTCGTTCTTGCGAATACATAAATACACAGTTAAGAAAGTTATTTTCTCAGTACACTTCATTTTGTCTATTAATTTTATATTTTAAGTCATTTATCTACATGTCTATGGGTTTAGGCTACACTCCCCTTCCTTGGATCAAACTGATTTTTTTTTTCATTTCCCGGGTGCTATGTTATCTCTACATCATCCCTTCCCTTTTTTGGCAGATCCTTTTCGTAGTTGGGAGATTACAATTTTCCCTGTCATGGCCGTGCTGGGTGAGCTCTCTACCCATCATTACTTTGGTTTTCGTAACGGTCGTTCTACGATCTACCCCTTAATTAATACGCTTGGATATGTATGCTCCCAGTGCCTTTGCTAATAATGGACTGATTACGTCGTCTTCAAGTCTCTTCTGCTTCTATCAACTTATCTGTACTCGGATGGAAATATAAACACATATGCAGTATAATGAGATCCTTTATTGACTACGTTTCGCCCACACAGTGGGCTTTTTCAAGTCACAAACAGAACTACCTGGAGTGGAAGGAACGCGAGTATTTATAGTCAGGTTCAGAATGCTGAGGTCAGGTGGAGAATGCTGCATCTGATGATGTACCGAGTGGGGTTATAGAGTCTAAAATCTTGGGTAGCTTGGAAAGGAGATTGGACAAGTTTGTGAGCAGACCTTCTACAGTGTTCTCATGTGGGATAGCGATGAAGAAGCTTCTTGGCAAGTGGTTCAGCTATGTTATAGAAGCCACTATTCTGGTTGAAGTTGTCGGATATAGAAATAAGTGATGATTCCAAGATTCTTCGGTATTGAGTGTTGTCTTCTTTCTATCTGTACTCGACTGAAGAAGCCTACTGTGTAGGCGAAACGTTTCGAAATAAAGATACCTAACTGTTGCATATGTGTCTTACCTAAGAACCTATCGGTATTTTATACCATTTTAATGTTCACTGCTAATAATAAATCGGTTATTTCAGTAAAGCTTATGGCACTACCTAACGTTATAACATTTTAGCTCAAGCCAATGTCTTGAGCCCCGAGACAATTTGTCACTTTTCCTTAGAGATTTATTGGAGAGGTATTCCCGTGTCCGGGTATATCTGGAGAGGATTTCGGGGGCCAATGCCCCCGCGGCCCGATCTGTGACCAGACCTCGCGGTGGATCAGAGCCTGATCAACCAGGCTATTTCTGCTGGCCGCTCGCAAACCGACGTACGAACGATAGCCCAGTTGATTATGTACTGACTTTAGGTGCCTGTCCAGTGCCTACTTGAAAACAGCCAGGGGTCTATTGGTAATCCCCCTTATGTATGCTGGGAGGCTGTTGAATAGTCTTGGTCCCCCTAATAGTAACTGTGTTTTCTCTTAGCGTACTCGTGGCACCCCTGATTTTCACTTGTGGGGGGGGGGAATAATAACTTTTTTCTCTGATTCTCTCCAGGTTGAATGAATACCACGAGTGTTCTTCGTGTCAGCATAGTTGCTGATTCCCTGTATATCTATACTTTATCTGAGTATCATAGTACCATTCATATGTTTTACATAGTTGACCCCTTGCTAGGCTCTGTGACTAGCTTGCGTGATGTCACGTGATGCCGCATGAGAGCGCTGCGCTCCCAGCCTCGTCCTCAGTTCTCCACGCTTAGGTCTACAAACAGGCAAGCTGGGCTTGCCTGCTAATATGTGTTACCATCCAACGACTGTGTTTAACTCCAACCATCACATCTCTTGTAGATGAATGGTTCAGAGAACCGACATGTTGATGAATTAGACACATGTGCAACTCTTGGGTATCTTTATTGGGGAAACGTTTCGCCACACAGTGGCTTCATCAGTCCATACAAAGGAGAATCTTGAAGAACAGGAGGAGAATGAGGTAATCAGTCCCTCAACCTTGAGTCGATGTGGTCAGTCCATCATCGACTCAAGGTTGAGGGACTGATTACCTCATTCTCCTCCTGTTCTTCAAGATTCTCCTTTGTATGGACTGATGAAGCCACTGTGTGGCGAAACGTTTCCTCAATAAAGATACCCAAGAGTTGCACATGTGTCTAATTCATCACATCTCCACGAACCCTCCCGACATTCGCACTATCCTCTTTCCCCTCGCCATTAATGACCTCTTCCCTTTTCTCCCTTCCAACGATGTCGGGTTAAGATAAGATTTTATTCGGATTTTTAACCCCGGAGGGTTAGCCACCTAGGATAACCCAAGAAAAACAGTGTTTCATCGGGGGACTGTCTATCTTATTTCCATTGGGGTCCTTAAATCTTGTCCCCCAGGATGTGACCCTCACCAGGCGACTAACATCCAGGTATCTACTGGCCTGCTAGGTGAACGGGACAACAGGTGTAAGGAAACACGCCCAATGTTTCCACCCTTTCAGGGGATCGAACCACGGCTACTCAGTGTGAAGCGAGAGCTTTGCCTACCAGGCCACGGGCCATCGAAGACTACTTTCATGCTTCTCATTCACGGATACCATAAGGGGAAACGACCAGCACCGCTCTACTAGGACTGTCAGGTTAAACAATCAGTCAACCATATCTTAACAGTTTGTCCTATCTATTAGCAGGAATGCAAGGTTTCTGCCCGACGTCCACACTGCCCTAACACTGCCCCACACTTGCTCTCAATGACCCACCTTTGACGTACTCTGACTTTTAACGGAAACTAACCTATTGCAATTACTTTGATTTTCATTTTCTCATGCACTAACCTCCAGTGAAGTCGCTACACTAGTACACCATTACCCGTCACTTAAAACTAACCTTTGCACAGTCCTAATTCTGCCTAAGCCTCCTGGCAAATTTAACACTCACATTGATTATGATCATATTCTACGGCACCTAGTACATAAAGCTGCTTTAATTTTCCTCGAATCAAACTTAATTCTCTCCCATTCCACATGTGTTTTTTGGCCTCCACGGGTTTAGTGCTTTCAGTGAATCTAATAGTAATTGTAATTTAAATGAGACACAGCAGGTGCTGGTTAGATAACAGTGCCACGTAAACAGTGAAGATAACACTGTCAGCTACAGTGATCATTATTATTATATTCATTGTGAAGCGATAAACTCATAAGGGCCACACACCATATTGGGACTGAGAGGTAATTAAGCTTAATGCAAGGAAAGGGCGCGTAGCTCCAGATTCCTTGGATCAAGAACTTCTTATTAATAGGATATACCACTTGCAGAAGGTAACAAGAGAAGTGAGGACGAGTTATGGTAAGAGGAGGTAAGAGGAGAGTGCTTGACCCTCCTGACACTCAACGAGTGTGCCTTCATGCTAATGAAGGGCTCTTGATCCAAGGAATTACAGCTACCCTTCTCTGCTTCAAACTTGATTGCTTCCCATTCCCTAGGCGCCGTGTGACCTCTACGGGTTTAGCGCTTCCTCTTTATTACACTATTAACCCAGTTGCAGACTCCCTTCACGGAGTCTTGTCTAGCTAATGTTTAAATTATAATGGAGAGACATCAAGTGATTACATATGAGTCAGACTCAGAGCTGGGGGACCCAAGGTGGTGATAACACTGATATACAACCCTCCACCAAACAGCTGGAGACCAAGGCAGGAATATGACAAATGGGCTAAATCCGTATGGCTTATACAGCGTTGCTACTGCTTGGTGTTAAAGCCAATGTTAAGGAGCACGTCAGTTCCCCTGTTTTCTAATAATATGTCAGTTTTCCCCTATAATCTACCTGTCCGTAATTACTATCGCATTTGTTTTTTCTGCTTTCGTAAGGTGAAGTCTAGGAACTTTCATTAATTCATGGTGTAACTTAACAAATCTTTGAGGGCAATTGAGTTGCAAGTGTCTCAGATCAATGTCTGCCATGGGAGGAGGTACAAGTACCTCCTCGTCTTCTAGGACCAGCTGTCCCCAGGCCTAGCCCCATTCCCCGCCCCCACAGGGCTCGGAGGGAGAAGCTAGGCACCTTGGGCTGCCACAAACCCCTCCCACACTGGGCTCGAAGGGTGTGGCAGCTGCTTAGCAGCAGACGATGTCAGGAGGTGCAAAGGCAGCAAGCACTACAGGTTATTTTTGGAGTCACCCCTAGCTTCGGATATTGCGTCCGAGCGCTGGGGAAGCTCGAGAATGCCTCTTGTGAGTGTTGCTGCTGCTAGTTCACTTGTCCGTTGCACTCTCTCTCCGAATGCTGGTTTGTGAGCCCCTGTTTTTATATTTGCCAAGCAAAACCCTAGAACAATAGTTTTATATCAGTCTTTCCTGAAAGTGTTCCAGAAGTGTTCTGACTGCAAAAGCAAAGTTTTGGGATCAAAATTTCTTTTTTTTAAATTTTGTTTAGTTATAAAGAATTGGGAAACGATGCTTATTTCCCGGGAACACGACAAAAGTGAAATTTTTATTAGAGTGTAATTCTTTAACGGTCTTTGGTGAGAAGCCGGTTACTGAAATCAGGTGAGGGTGTAGGCGTCCCGCTCTGATGGGGCTCACCAAGGGTGTCCACCGGATCTAATTGGAAACTTCAAGTTTCTATGACAAGTTTCTATTTATATATACAAAGGAACTTTTATTCATTTTCTTTTATCGGCCAGCTTTGGGCAACAAATCTTCCCTGAACATCGGGAAGTCGGGTTCAATACGGCTTATTCTCTCAGTGGCCCTAATAAACCCAACGAAGAAAGAAAGAAAAAAGGCCGTGTAACTCCGAGCATTACTCTCATATTTCCACTCATACGCTGTGTTTCTCTGCATCATTTGTGGTAGATAAGCTCAGCTATATATGATGCGTTCTAAAGTCACCGTGGCAGTGGCTGAGTAGCTTTGTTAAATATGTAAGTAAGCTATTTTTCCATGTTAAATATTCGTGTCTCAGCATGTTAAAATTTCTTCAGTGTACTTTATTATTACAGTGAAGTTGTGGTATAATTTATTGGAGTAATCCCCAGTTATCCTAGGTAACTTACACTGATAATTGTACTTATGTGTACCTGTACTAGTGGCTTTCTTTTGTGATAACAATATTTTTGTTATATATAAACAACATTGTGTATACTGCAGAAAGAAATAAAGTTTGTTTACACATTTAGCTTGCTATAGAAGGAATATTATTTAGGACTGGACCCATAGGCACAATACCAGACAAGTGTGACCATGGTGTAATAGTGCACAAAATGCATCATAAAGGAATAACAGTAAAAGTTGGTAGATGTATCTATAACTTCCAAACAACTAGAACATAAAGGGTAATAGTAAACAGAGTAAAGTCTGAGGCAGCCACAGTGAAAAGCTGTTCCACAAGGCACAGTACTTGCCCCCATCCTGTTCCTTATCCTCATATCCGACATAGAGAAGTAAGCCACAGCACCATGTCTTACTTTGCAGATGACATCCGAATTTTCATGGCAGCGTCATCCATTGATGACACTGAAAGACTCCAGCGGACATAAGCGAAATCTTTACATGGGCTGTGGAAAACAATATAAAGTTCAATGAAGAGAAATTTCAATTACTCCGATATGGAAAACTCGAGGAAATTAAAAGTGTATCGGAGTGTAAAACAAATTTCAATCACACAATAGAATGAAAAACTAATGTGAAGGACCTGGGAGTGACAATGTCAGAGGATCTCACTTTCAGAGATCACAACAATGTATCTACCACATCTGCTAGGAAAATGATAGGATGCATAATGAGAACCTTCAAAACTAGGGATGCCAAGCCCATGATGATTCTCTTCAAATCGCTTGTTCTCTCTAGGCTGGAATATTGCTGTTCACTAATGGCCCACTTCAAGGCTGGCGAAATTGCAGACCTGGAGAATATACAGAGAACTTTCACGGCAAGTATAAGCACAATAAAGCACCTAAATTACTCAGAATGGTTGAATTCCCTTCATTTTTACTCCCTGGAACACAGGCAAGAGATACGTGATAATATGCACTTGGAAAATCCTAGAGGGACTAAGCCCAAATTTGAACACGAAAATCACTCCCTATGAGAGCAAATAACTGGGCAGGAGATGCAACATCCCCCCAATGAAAAGCAGGGGTGCCACGAGTACACTAAGAGACAACACAGTAGGTGTCAGTGGCCCAAGACTGTTCAACTGCCTCCCAGCATACATAAGGGAATTACAAATAGACCCCTGGCTGTCTTCAAGAAGGCACAGGACAGGCACCTAAAGTCAGTACCTGACTAGCTGGGCTGTGGTTTGTATGTTGGTTTGCATGCGGACAACAGTAACAGCCTGGTTGATCAGGCTTTGATCCACCATGAGGCCTGGTCATAGACCGGGTCGTGGGGACGTTGATCCCCGGAATACCCTCCAAGTAGACTCCAGGTAATTCACATATCTTTTCAAACATCCATATGCATTGTGTCCAAACTGCTGTTTAAACTCACTGAACATAATCAAAACATGTTTTAAACAAGTTGAATGATGCAACTGGATTCTGTGCCAATATTCTTCATGCAGTACAGTACACACACATTATGTGTTTGTGGCAGTAGTGGAACACAACTAGTACAGTGCAGTGTAGATGAGTACTTTTTTGATTTATAATTGATTTTAGTTTAAAGTTAAATACTATTTTATAATACTTTATGTGACTCTTGTACATTAAAAAATGTAATGAAAAGTATTATATGTGGCTCTTCTTATTGAAGAACTTGCTCACCCCTAGTACAGCTTCTCTTCACTTTACGACGTACTCATTTACCGATGACTCAGACTTACGAGGGGCTCTCTGACCAGTATGCATATCTCCTCTATTCTGATTTATTACAATATACAGCACACTACTGTATAAACATTTAAAAATATACTAAAAATGTCGTAAATGGTGCAACTGTGACATTTTTATAAAATGTCAAAGATGTCTCTCCAGGTATGGTTGACCCACTACCATTATAGTATGCTCCTTGCTTAGTGATGAATTTATTTACTGACGTGGTCTTAGGAATGGAACTCCGTCGTTAAATGAGAAGAGGTTGTATATAGTAATCAGTTTAGTCATTAATTTTCATCTAAATATGTGTTATATAGTGTTGTAATGAGACAAAGATATGAGAAGGATTTGATAGATTTATTAATTACAGAAAGTATTATTTGTTTTACAGCCCCTTCATGAATTCCAAGAGCTGTACGAAATTATTCCTGGGTGATCTGGAAGTGGACGAGACGAAAATTTTTTTTGCCAGAAACAAGGAAGTTTCTAAAGTAGACGTTATTGGTACAGTGGTCCGCCTTCATGACTGTGAAAGCTTGCAAAAATTTGACAGTAAGATGGATGCTGTACTATTGATAATATAATATATTATATTTGGCAATGAAATGTGAGATAGGTTTTCAACTTTCTAAGTTAGTTATTTTTCAAGTTCTTAATATGAATGTAATTTGCTCCATTAAATTTAAAAATAAACTACCAACAAGTTGAGTATTGTTCCAGTTAAATATCTGTCTTGTGATGTCCATGCACTTCAGGAAACATAGGGAATGAATGGTAGTAATGGTATTATTCTTTGTTTCCTTGTCTTGACTGGAAAATGGCAAATGTCATAAAAATTTTTAATGAGTATTTATACTTAATTCAGATACAAAAGTATACAAAACAGGGGACCAAAATAGGCATGTTCTTGCTTAACCCGTAAACGGTCCAAACATATATATACGCTTTTTCAACATTTGAAAGTATGTAAAAAAAGTAGATCTTCTTTTTTCTTTTTTTACATTTGAAAATGTGTAAAAAAACTTTGATCTACTTTTTTTTTTGTTATATTTGAAAATATGTAAAAAAAACGTAGATCTACTTTTGGAGCATTACACATGTGAACGTAGATCTGCTTGGACCGTTTACAGGTTAATACAGAGTCTGTGGTTCAATCCCCGGTTGGGTGGAAACATTGATCATGTTTTCTTGCACCTGCTGTCCCTGTTTACCTAGCAGTAAGTAGGTTCCTGGGTGTTAGCTGACTGTGAGGGTTGCATCCTGGGGGCAAGATTGAAGGATCCCAATGGAAATAAGATAGTCTTTGAGGCACTGACTTTCTTGGGTGGCTAACCCTCTGGGTTAAAAATCCAAACAAATCTTATCTTGCCTACTTGGAGATATTTCAACAAAAGCTATGAGGGGTACCTGTACTTTGTATTTTGGCCTGCTGAAGTCTTCTGAGGAGGGCATCAGTTCTAGTCTGAAATATGCAATACTCTAACCATCTTTTATAAACCACACAGTGGGCGGAGATTGAACCCGTGGCGAGCGAGTTGTAAAAATCCAGGCCAGTGTGTAAGCCACTGGGCCAGCTGGCTACAATAGATTCTTTTTTTTTTATTAACACATCAGCCGATTTCCACCAAGGCAGGGTGGCCCGAAAAAGAAAAGCTTTCATCATCATCATTCACTCCATCACTGTCTTGCCAGAGGGGTACTTTACACTATAGTTATAAAACTGCAACTTTAACACCCCTCCTTCAGAGTGCAGACACTGTACTTCCCATCTCCAGGACTCGAGTCTGGCCTGCCGGTTTCCCTGAATCCCTTCATAAATGTTACTTTGCTCACACTCCAACAGCACATCAAGTATTAAAAACCATTTGTCTCCATTCACTCCTATCAAATACGCTTGTGCATCCTTGCTGGAAGTCCAGCCCCTCGCACACAAAACCTCCTTTACCTCCGCCCTCTAACCTTTCCTTGGCCGACCCCTACCCTGCCTTCCCTCCACTACAAATTTATACACTCTCGAAGTCATTCTGTTGTGTTCCATTCTCTCTACATGTCCGAATCGCCTCAACAACCCCTCCTCAGCCCTCTGGATAATAGTTTTGGTAATCTCGCACCTCCTAATTTCCAAACTACGAATTCTCTGCATTGTATTTACACCACACATTGCCCTCAGACATGACATCTCTACTGCCTGCAGCCTTCTCCTCATTGCAACATTCATCACCCATGCTTCACACCCATATAAGAGTGTTGGTATAACTATACTCTCATACATTCCCCTCTTTGCTTCCACGGACAAAGTTCTTTGTCTCCACAGACTCCTAAGTGCACCACTCACACTTTTCCCCTCATCAATTCTGTGATTCACCTCATCCTTCATAGATGCATCTGCTGACATGTCCACTCCTGAATATCTGAAGACATTCACCTCCTCTATACTCTCTCCCTCCAATCTGATATCCAGTCTTTCGTCACCTAATCCTTTTTGTTATCCTCATCACCTTACTCTTTCCTATACCATTCACTTTTAATTTTCTTCTTTTACATACCCTACCAAATTCATCCACCATATATATACGTATATACACCATAGAGAGGTTGCTGGCCCAGTGATTTACGTGCTAGCCTGGGGTTTATTTGGTATGGTTTATTTGTAATCGTGTCATTATGATTTTGTGAGTCATCTGTTATATTTTCCCAAGGTGAACTTGCTTACATCATTTAACTACACTTAAATTGGCACAAACAAAATTTTTTACTGTGCTGTAATCAGAAGCTGTATTTTATTAAAAGTATGCACATACAGTGGACCCCCACCTTACGATATTAATCTGTTCCTGAGAGCTCATTGTATGCCGAAATTATCGTAAGGTGAATTAATTTTCCCCATAAGAAATAATGGAAATCAAATTAATCTGTGCAGGACACCACAAAGTATGAAAAAAAATTTTTTTTTTTACCACATGAAATATTAATTTTAATACACACAAACTGACACTTACCTTTATTGAAGATCTGGTGATGATTGATGGGATGGGAGGAGGGGAGAGTGTGGAAGTTGTTAATGTTTAGAAGGGGAATCCTCTTCCATTAGGACTTTAGGTAGCACGTCCTTTTCCGGGGTTACTTCCCTCCTTCTTTTAATGCCACTAGGACCAGCTTGAAATCACTGGACCTCTGTCGCACAACATATCTGTCCATAGAGCTCTGTACCTCTCGTTCCTTTATGATTTGTCTAAAGTGGTTCACAACATTGCCATTGTAATAGTCACCAGCATGGCTTGCAATAACTGTGTGAGGATGATTTTCATCCATAAAGGTTCACACTTCAAGCCACTTTGCACACATTTCCTTAATCTTTGAAGTAGGCAACTTCTTCAATTTCTCTCTCCCCTCCTCCGAAGCAGTTTCCTCAGGTCTGGCCTCTTGCTGTTGAAGATGATCTTGCAGCTCATCAGTGGTTAGTTCTTCATTGTCCTCCTCCACCAACTCTTCCACATCCTCCCCACTAACCTCCAACCCCAAGAACTTCCCCAATGCCACAATTGATTCCACAACTGGCATACGCTTCTCAAGGTTAGCCTCAAATCCTTCAAAATCCCTTTTGTCTACACATTCTGGCCACAGTTTCTTCCAAGCAGAGTTCAAAGTCCTCTTAGTCACTCCCTCCCAGGCCTTACCTATAAGGTTTACACAACTGAGGATACTAAAGTGATCTTTCCAAAACTGTCTTAGAGTCAATCGAGTGTCTGAGGTCACTTCAAAGCACTTTTGAAACATAGCTTTTGTGTAGAGTTTTTTGAAGTTTGAAATGACCTGCTGGTCCATGGGCTGCAGGAGAGGAGTGGTATTAGGAGGCAAAAACTTGACCTTAATGAAGCTCATGTCCCCAGAAAGTCGCTCTCCCAAGTCTGAAGGATGACCAGGAGCATTGTCTAATACCAGGAGGCACTTAAGGTCCAATTTCTTTTCCATTAAGTAATTTTTCACAGTGGGGGCAAATGCATGGTGTAACCAGTCATAGAAAAAGTCCCTAGTGACCCATGCCTTAGTGTTTGCCCTCCACAGCACACACAAATTAGCCTTGAGGACATTGTTTTGCCTGAACACTCTGGGAGTTTGAGTGATACACCAATAAAGGCTTCATTTTGCAATCACCACTAGCATTAGCACACATCAAGAGAGTAAGCCTGTCTTTCATAGGCTTATGTCCTGGGAGTGCCTTTTCCTCCTGAGTAATGTAGGTCCTGTTTGGCATTTTCTTCCAAAACAGGCCTGTTTCGTCACAATTAAACACTTGTTCAGGTTTCAGTCCTTCACTGTCTATGTACTCCTTGAATTCCTTCACATATTTTTCACCCGCTTTTTGGTCCAAACTGGCAGCCTCGCCATACCTTGTCACACTATGTATGCCACTACGATTCTTAAATCTCTCAAACCAACCTTTGCTGGCCTTAAATTCACTTACATCACTGCTAGTTGCAGGCATTTTTCTAATTAAATCCTCATGCAACTTCCTAGCCTTTTCACATATGATTGCTTGAGGGATGCTGTCTCCTGCTATCTGTTTTTCGTTTATCCACACCAATAACAGTCTCAACATCTTCGAGTACTTGCGATCTTGTTTCGAAAACAAAGTTACACCTTTTGCAAGAACAGCTTCCTTGATTGCCGTTTTGTTGGCCACGATAGTAGCGATGGTTGATTGGGGTTTGATATACAACCTGGCCAGCTCCGAGACACGCACTCCACTTTCGTACTTAGCAGTTATCTCTTTCTTCATTTCCATAGTAATTTTCACCTTTTTTACCGCACGGTTGGCACTAGAAGCTTTCTTGGGGCCCATGGTGACTTATTTTGCAGGTACAATCACTAAAAACGTTGTGATAATATGAAATGTTCCGATTGTATGCATGGATGCGACCGCACTGGCTGGCTTGCAAACACTGGCACCCACGGGGCAGCTGAGGTGCGCTCAGGCCACACGTGGGACGCGTCCCGGACCACGACGAATCATGTGAGACAAGGCAAAATTTTTGCGTTAAAATGTATCGTATGGTGGATTTAACATAATGCGATGCCATCGCAAGGTGCGGGTCCACTGTATTAATTAAAAACGGTGGATTTAACTTTATTGTATAAGTGTAAATTTTTTATGGTATTTTATTTCTTTTAATAACTGCTGACCTAAAACTTACTTGATGTACTTCATGTAATGTGGATCTTGGAAATTTCTACTGGCATGTATACAGTATTGTTTAAATTTTGTCACAAATGTAGCTTTTTTTTTCTCCCAAATATGTGAATTTATTAAAGAAAAAATATGAACAGAGAACTGGTATGGTGCACCATGTCAAGCCTCTTTACCTGATGAGATGCATAGATACAGATTTTCTTTTTTAAGTGTTTTTTTATAATTTATTTTCAAATTGTGAAATTATCAAGATCTGAATCTGAATTTACTTTTACCTAGATTAGAATAATGTGCAGCTGACAGTAGTTAAGAAATGGCACATACTGCTTAACCCTTTCACTGTCTAAAATCCCAAAATTAAAATTGCTCTTATTTATATTCAGAAGAAAAATGTTACAGTGGTCCCTCAATAATCGTCCGGCTCGATAGTCGCCCTTCTCGGAAATCGTCGCGTTATTTTCGTCCAAACATTGGCTCGCAAATGATCGGTTGACTCACTAATCATCCTTCGTTCGGGATGCATACTCACGCTCTAAGCTGCCTCGCCCTCCCTTCCCAGCCAGTGTGCCATTGTTTACCAGTGAGCGACGGGTCCCCTCACTTGTTCATACGAAATGTTTCATAATATTCCATTCATTTTAGTTCTTGCAAGTGCTAAATACGCTACCATGGCTCCAAAGAAAGCTCCTAGTGCCAAGCCTTTGGTAAAGAAGGTGAGAAATACGACTGAATTTAAGAAAAACATCATTGAACAATATGAAAGTGGCGTACGTGTGGCTGAACTGGCCAGGATGTATAACAAATTCCGTACAACCATATCTTCCATTGTGGCCAAGAAAAAGGAAATCAAGGAAGCTGTTGTTGCAAAGGGGGTAAATATGCTGACAAAAATGAGATCACTAGTACTCGAAGAGGTTGAGAAGTTATTATTGGTGTGGATAAACGAGAAACAATTAGCAGGAGATAGTCTTATGACGTCGATTATTTGTGAAAAGGCTAGGCAGTTGCATGACAATCTGGTAAAGAAATTGCCTGCAACGAGTACTGATAATTATGAATTTAAGGCCACCAAAGGTTGGTTTGAGAGATTTAAGAAGCATAGTGGCATACACAGTGTGATAAGGCATAGTGAAATGTGGGGTAGGATGCAATGATTTATGGAGAAACATCACCCTGAGAAGGATGTTGCAAGCCATATCGGCAATTTGTACAGTGACTGAGTCTTGGCCCATTTTAGGGAAGTTTTAAAGAGATGCCAGAAACAGAGCTCTCTGGAAACTTTTTTTGTGAGACAGGACTCCAGTGACTCTCAAGCTGGTCCTAGTGGCATTAAGAAACAGAGAAGAGAAGTAACCCCAGAAAAGCACTTGGTACCTGAGGTGTTGATGGAAGGGGATTCCCCTTCCAAACAGTAATTGATCCAATCTCTCTCCTCCTCCAGTCTTCCATACACTAAGAAGAATCGCCAATAAAGGTAAGTGTTATGCTGTTAATGTTTCATTCATCATGTCCCATTGTATTGTTTATGTACTACATCTATATTTCATGTAAAAAAATTTTTTGTTTTAATACTTCTGGGTGTCAGGAACGGATTAATTGTATTTACATTATTTCTTATGGGGAAAATTGATTTGAAAATCATCTATTTCGATAATCGTCGCACTTCCAGGAACGGATTAACGATGATAAATGAGGGACTGCTGTATTTTTCTTATCAATTAAATGAGTACATTTTTCTGGTGGTAATGGAAAAAAAATTCCTTTGTACTTCTTGAGGTATAAAGGTGTGAAGTTGAAGGTTGACAACCCACTGATGACCTCATTGGCAGTTGGCATGCACTCCACATTTTTCTCTTATATTTTATTTTGTACTTTTTTTTTTTTTTTGGGGGGGGGGGGGGGTGTTCAAATTTTTGCATTTTCCAGTAACTTTTGTGGCCGGTGAGACCCATATCATGCACAGTGTACATATATCAACCAGTTTTATTCAACACAATGCCCACACTAATAATGTCATCAGTACATTGTGTACAAAATATTTATGCAACGTAAACACAAACCAGTACACATGTTTCTCATTACTACTGTTTTAACATTTGTGTATATATACAGGTGCTGATCATGTTCCTAGAACTAATGTAGTCTGTGGGAGTCCTTGGAAACACAGCTCCATATACTACAACAGTGTTTTACACACACTGCACATGAAGCTTGTGTGTCTATGCTTTGGTGGCACCTTGTGTGTGCACACACGTAACATGAAAGTGATCACTAAGCTGCAAATGAGAGGGTATTTGGTAATCATCTTGCAGTGATATTTCCAGTGTCCTAAGCATTACTTTTGGTCATTTACATATATGTTTGAAACTAAGGAACTCATCGTCAGTTCCATAATTCATGTTTTTGAAACTCACTGAGGAACAAAACAGATTTTTTTATATACTGTGCACATTCACTGCACAGACCCATATTTGAGGGCACTTCAATTATGATGTAGATCCATGTAATGGCACTAGCCTCAGTGACGTAGGTCTACTTAACAGTGAAAAGGTTAGAGATTAAAAAATCCAGCAGTGTTAGGCTTGATTAGTCACCTGAGCAAATCTGTACTGCATATGGTGAACTATGGCAGAAATTAAGTTGCCACAGAAGAGCAAATTTTTGTAGCGAGAGAAACCTGCACTGTATAGTAAAAAAAAAACTGCTACTGATTTTCAATTATACAATATATTAATAGTTTCAGTACTTTATTTAATTAGTATAAGGACACACACAAAATTTAATGCTTTAAAAGAACCTTTTGTATTTCCAGTTGATGATGGGACTGGCATAATTCAGTGTGTAAAATTTCATGCTGATGATTCCGAGGATGAGTGTTCTTCTGTTGATGAAGAGGATGCAAGCAGTGATGAAGATGCTTTGGAAGAATTAAAGGACATTTTGATAAAGCCACTGCCTCCTCTAGAGCTTGGTGATTTAGTGAACATCCGAGGATATCTTAATGTTTATAAAGAGCAACCACAAATTATTGCTTACACCTTACGTATCCTTTGAAAATATGGAAAATTGAATTAAACCTTGTATCTTATTGATTGCATTCATAATTTTCAAATATGGGTTAGTATAAAATTATATTTCAGTACAGTAAGCAAGTTGGAGCCTTGAGATTCTGTAAAATAGTGCACAACGACACTTGCAGTATCATATTTTTGTAGAATGGAATGAAGAAAATGCGTTTGTACAACAATTATTCTAAATATTTGCAGGCATACCTTGCTAATATGATGCTTTTCAATTATTATTTTATTTTGTTTATTAACATATCGGCCAATTCCCACCAAGGCAGGGTGGCCCGAAAAAGAAAAACTTTCATCATCATTCACTCCATCACTGTCTTGCCAGAGGGGTGCTTTACACTAGTTATAAAACTGCAACATTAATACCCCTCCTTCAGAGTATAGACACTGTACTTCCCATCTCCAGGACTCAAGTGCGGCCTGCCGGTTTCTCTGAATCCTTTCAGAAATGTTACTTTGCTCACGCTCCAAAAGCATGTCAAGTATTAAAAACCATTTGTCTCCATTCACTCCTATCAAATACGCTCACGCACGCTTGCTGGAAGTCCAAGCCCCTCACACACAAAACCTTTACTCCCTCCCTGTAACCCTTTCTAGGTTGACCCCTACCCTGCCTTGCCTTCACTACAGATTTATACACTCTTGAAGTCATTCTGTTTTGTTCCATTCTCTACATGTCCGAACCACCTCAGCAACCCCTCCGCAGCTCTCTGGATGATAGTTTTGGTAATCCCACACCTTCTCCTAATTTCCAAGCTACGACTTCTCTGCATTATATTCACACCACACATTGCCCTCAGACATGACATCTCCACTGCCTCCAGCCTTCTCCTCGTTGCAACATTTATCACCCATGCTTCACACCCATACAAGAGTGTTGGTATAACTATACTCACATACATTCCCCTCTTTGCTTCCACGGACAAAGTTCTTTGTCTCCACAGACTCCCAAGTGCACCACTCACCCTTTTTCCCTCATCAATTCTATGATTCACCTCATCCTTCATAGACCCATCTGCTGACACGTCCACTCCTAATATCTGAAGACATTAACCTCCTCCATACTCTCTCCCTCCAATCTGATATCCGATCTTTCGTCACCTAATCTTTTTGTTATCCTCATCACCTTACTCTTTCCTATATTCACTTTTAATTTTCTTCTTTTACATTTTTTTTTTAACAAGTCGGCCGTCTCCCACTGAGGCAGGGTGACCCAAAAAGAAAGAAAATCCCCAAAAAGAAAATACTTTCATCATCATTCAACACTTTCACCTCACTCACACATAATCACTGTTTTTGCAGAGGTGCTCAGAACACAACAGTTTAGAAGCATATACGTATAAAGATACACAACGTATCCCTCCAAACTGCTAATATCCTGAAACCCCTCCTTTAGAGTGCAGGCATTGTACTTCCCATTTCCAGGACTCAAGTCCGGCTATATAAAAATAACCGGTTTCATACTGGTTTACATACCCTACCAAATTCATCCACCAACCTCTGCAACTTCTCTTCAGAATCTCCCAAAAGCACAGTGTCATCAGCAAAGAGCAACTGTGACAACTCCCACTTTTTGTTTAATCTTTATCTTTTAACTCCACACCTCTTGCCAGGACCCTTGAATTCACTTCTCTTACAAGCCCATCTATAAATATATTGAACAACCACGGTGACATCACACATCCTTGTCTAAGGCCTACTTTTACTGGGAAATAATCTCCCTCTCCCCTACATATTCTAACCAGAGCCTCACTATCCTCGTAAAAGCTCTTCACTGCTGTCAGTAACCTACCTCCTATACCATACACCTGCAACATCTGCCACATTGCCCCCCTACCCACCCTGTCATATGCCTTTTCCAAATCCATAAATGCCACAAAAACCTCTTTACCCTTATCTAAATACTGTTCGCCTATATGTTTCACTGTAAACACTTGGTCTACACACCCCCTACCTTTCTTAAAGCCTCCTTGTTCATCTGCTATCCTACTCTCCATCTTACTCTTAAGTCTTTTAATAATAACTCTACCATACACTTTACCAGGTATACTCAACAGACTTCTTCCCCTATAATTTTTGCACTTGTTTTTATCTCCTTTGCCTTTATACAAAGGAACTATACATGCTCTCTACCAATCTTTAGGTACCTTATCCTCTTCCATACATTTATTAAATAATAGCACCAACCACTCCAAAACTATATCCCCACCTGCTTTTAACATTTCTATCTTTATCCCATCAATCCGAGCTGCCTTACCCCCTTTCATTCTACCCACACTCACAACTGGCTCTTCCTCACTCCTCACTTTTCGATTATATTCATGTTTATTATTTTTCGACAGTAACATGCACATCAGCTGGCTGGTGCCATTTTGTTACTTGCACTCAGTGTGTTTACAGCATTTGTGCACTTCTTGTATTGGCATTGTATTCTGCTACTTTTCAAAACTTTTTGCATGTTATTGTTATTGTAATTGCAGGCAGGCCTCGTTTATACAGCAGGTTAGGGTTTGGGCTACTGATGTAAAGCGAAAATTACTGTGTGAAATATAGCCTTTTTTCACTTTCAAATGCATATAAAAACCTGATAGCATGTTTACATTATCCATATATTAAGTGAGCTAGGCCTAAAAAATTCATATACAGTACACACATTTCTTACTATAAACTAAGGATGAAAATATTTTAAGGTAAGTGGCAAATATATTTATTGTAGGAAGTCTGAATAAATGAAGAATGGGTATACGTAACTGAAAATGCTGCATTAGCAAAATGCCGTAAAATAGGGCCTGCTCGTATTAATTACAGTACAATGGCTCTAGTTTTAATGCTAGTGAAAAGAAGTTTCAAGTATCTTACTTTAAATCAAAAGCTAGAGTAAGTAAGAAATGTCAAATACTGAGACAGGCTGTAAGTTAGGTTTGGTGCACCAAACAGTTAGTATAGTATACCTGGAGAGTGTTTTGAGGGTCAGTGCCCGAGCTGCCTGGTCTGTGACCAGGCCCCGTGATGGATCAGGGCCTGATCAGTTAGGCTGTTATTGCTGGCTGCACACAAGCCAGCATACCAACTACAGCCTGACTGGTCAGGTACTGATTTTAGGTGCCTGTCTAGCACCTTGAGAACAGCTATGGGTCTATTGGTAAACCCTCTTATAGAATTATCAAAGCTTATTGCTTGGGTAGCATTGAAAATTAGGTTGGGCGAAGGACCAGCCTAGTATGGGCCAACAGACCTCCTGCAATGTTTCTTATGTATGTTGGGAGGCAGTTGAAAAGTCTTGGGCCCCTGACATTTATTGTGTTGCCTCTTAGCGTAATCGTGACACCCCCGCTTTTCAGTGGGGGATGTTGCATCTCCTGCCAAGTCTTTTGCTTTCACAGGGAGTGATTTTCATGTGCATATTTGGAACTAGTCCCTATAAGATTTTCCAAGTGTATATTATCGTGCATCTTTCTCGCCTGTGTTCCAGGGAATACAAATCAAGGGACTTCAAAGGAGAAGTTCTTGAAATATTTTAGGGAAATATTTTGTTAGTGGGATTGGGGAAATATTTTGTTAGTGGGATGAATTATAAAGGACCTGCCTAGTATGGGCCAACAGGCCTGCTGCAGTGTTCCTCCTTTCTTATGTTCTTATGAAAGAAATTAAAAGTGTTATTCCAGTGGACATGAAAGTGATAAGAAAGTGAGACAGCCTTATTGCTGATATGGAGAAAGTTTTAGTGGTCTGGTTAGATCAAATCAACCACAACATTCCTTTAACCCTTTGAGTGTCACAAGCCCCTTTCTGAAACTGTCATTCTGTCGCAAAATTTTTGGAAAAAAAAAAATTATGAAATGATAGAGAATCTTTTCCCGATGGTAATGACACCAAAAGTACGAAATTTGGTCGAAAACTCACGGAATTACGCTCCCGCGAAGTTAACGGTCTTGGCAACATATATGCATCGGCGATTTCGCCAACTTTGAGCCCTGTTTTCGTTGTTCCAGTTGACCAAACTCATAGCTATTTCTTTAGAACTCCATTTTTTCTATCAGTTGAGTACAAGAAACCGCCCATTTACCGATTTGAACTACCCAATAAAGTGGTCAGAAATTGGCAATTTGGCCAATTTGACGCAAATTAAAAAAGATGCCAATTTCAAAATAGGGTCCAGAATAAACAATGTAGACATTCTTGGCACTAAAATAACATAACATATCCTCTGTTTATTAGTCACATCTCTAGGCCCCTCTTATATTACTATTGCTTTCTATTTTGATTTTTTATTCATACAAAAAATACAAAATTTACTGTTATGCAGACTACTGCATTATTACAAAAATGGTATAAATAATATCAGTGCACTAGTGAAAGAATATTAGAATCCCCAGTTGACATGTATTGGACGTGTGGTGTGATTTGCTTACTCCTGAACATTGGTAAAAATCAAACATTTCCGCTACTTTGAGCTCAATTTCACGGTCATTTTCATCATGAAACTAATCAAAATCATCTCTATTTCTGTAATATGTTTTCCATTTTATCACGTGAGACCATGAAAATGAGAATACAATGATAAATACTATACGAAAATATACCTCAAAGTCGGCATTTTAATTAAAAAAAAACGGTCAGTTTTTTCTCATTATGCACTGCATGCTGCAGGATTTTTTTATGTGGTGCACACTGACCACACAGACCCATTCTCTCACATGTAGGCCTACCAGCTTTCTCCCGCTTGATTTGAAGCCGCTAGAATTTACGCGTATAAATACGTCCGAAACAGTGGCGCGTAAGATGTATATATACGACTGAAACAGTCAAAGGGTTAAGCGAAGTCGTAATCCAGAGCAAGGCTCTTTTCAATTCTATGAAGCCAGAGAGAGGTGAGATAGCTGCATAAGAGAAGTTTGAAGCTAGCGAAGGTTGACTCACGAGGTTTAAGGAAAGAAGCAATCTCCACAATCTCCACTTTTATAAAAGTGCAGGGTGAAGCAGCCAGTTCTGTAGCATGCTACAGAAAAATCCTTTGTGACAGGAAGCATTAGTCAGTGAGGCAAACTTTGTTGTTGTCTTGTATTAAGACAGTGCCATACCCACCCCAGCCTTCAGTAGCAAGTAGGCCTACCTTTCAACAGCTTTCACCATAAGCAAAGGACAAAAATATTTTAAGGTTAGCAATATTGTACTGTAGCATTTTTTTTTATAAATGTTTACTTTTGCATCTTTTTTTTTAGGCCTAGCACTGTTGTGCACATAATAAATGATAGCGTAAACATGCTTTTAGTTTTTATATGTACTATAGAGTGGAAAAAAGGCTGTGATTTGCTTTAAGGTGATATTTGCTTTATGTTGGTGGTCTGGAACCTAACTTGCCGTAGTAGCGAGGTGTGGCTATATATGTATGTATGATGTAGAACTATAAAAATGGCATAGTATGGTAAAGGATTTCATCTAAAGAAACTGACTGATTAAATCTTGGAAATTTTATTGAAAGGACTGAATCAACTGATTTTGATAGAATGCACAATTAAAATACATATTAAAGCAGCCTTGAAAAGTAAATATAGGCTGTGCTCTCGGTAAATATGGGCTTACCATTCTGTGGACAGGCTCCCCATGGTTTGTAGTTTTCTTACCTAAGGCCAAGAACTGGTTAGACTCTTTCCTTGGATCAAGCATGATTTCCTCCCATTTCTTGTCACTGTATGACTCCCATTGGTATATAATTTAATACTGGCTTTGCCTAACAGTAGTCTTCAGACAGTAACTTTGTCATGTAGAAGGCAGTAATGGCAGAAACCCTCGAGAAGCAATGATGGAATGGATGTTGTCTGTGCCTGTGGCTGCAGGAGAGGGCCCAACTAACTTATGTCACTACAATCCAATTTCTGTGAAGTCATCAGCACATCCCTTCGGAGGGGTTGCATTTTGAGGCTTTCCTGACGTAAATTGATTTTTTTTTTCCCTGGTAATGACCAACATTAGTTGTGGGGCTATCCCATGCAGAGAGCTCCCTGGAAATTCAGGAACCCTGCCAACTTCGTCCTTAACCTGGCCACTTTTTTTCCTCAACTGTAACTCTGACCCCCAAGTCACACATTTCTAACTGTTCCTTGTCACTCAGATAGGGGGGTTCAATGATGGGTGCCAATGACAGTGGCATGGCATTGTGGATGATGTGTACATTGCTTGGTCAGACTAAGCACTTTTGCATGCCAGTGACTGCAAGGATACTTTCACAGATACACCCTCAGACTAGGCTAAGAGGGATCTTAATCATTTCTAATCAATACAGTAAATATACGTTTAAGAACGATGACAGTAATAGCATTTAGTGTAGTTTAGTTTGTGGTCACATTTAAATACAGTATAACTGCTCTATCTTTTTCTCCAAGTTTTGAATTTTGTTCTTGATAACTATATAACTAATAATTCTGACACTATTGCTCCTTAACATTTATCACAGGTCGTGTTTCTGACTCAAATGAAGAGTGGTTTCGTATCATGGAAATTGATGCTAAACTGAGAGCAAGTGAAACTTCTGCATCATCAGCTAAGAAAAGTATTCGGGGACAAAGAGTATAGTCTGCATGTTGAAGATCTTTGTATTATTGCTCAGTATCCAGTAGTAAATGTAGAGAATTGTTCAAATTTATGTGAACATGGAATGTGAAAGTACAAACCGTTTGGAAAGCATTCGCCAAAAGGCACGGTACAGTGACCAAGCTTCTCGACTAAAGAAAAGAAACATAGCTCGTGATGTTCGCCGTTTACACTTGGATGATGTAGTAAAAAAGTTAAAGGTACTGTATCATATTCTCAAGGATAACATTTAAGTTTGGTCTTTATTACATTAGTGTAATTTAATTGGTATTTTTTTCATTTATTGTCTGTCATATTCTTTAGCTTATTTGTTTGTTGTAGGTGCCTTCAACAGAAGAATTTTCAAGACTGTCTTCTCAACTAAAGAGGCAAAAGAACGTGGAGATCTTGCAGAGAATACGTCTTGGTCTGAGCAGTAGTCAAGAAAATATCACCATTTTCTTGAATATGCAAGGTGCATTATATTCATTAATTGGATGCTTGACAAGTAAGTAATGTTTATTGATATTTTCTTGACCACGAATAGCTATTTTCTGGTTTTTGATGATGGCGTTGAACTTTATAACAGAAATATGTGGATGCATAAATATCTTAGTAATGGAGTTTTGTTTCTTTGCTTTTTCAAAGTACAGTACTTCAAACACTGTTTGATTTATTAATGCAATTTGTATTTTAAGCATAAAATATAGAAATCTACTAGAGTAGTTATTTCATACAGGTATCATAACTTTCCATTTTAATCTAATATTTTAGTTTTCTGGTTTACTTTATAAAATTAATCTCCATCTTAGGTCATGAGGCAAGTGTAGAGAGAGAAGCTGCATGTACTCTAGTCAACATAGCTCTCGGAACTGAGAAACAGTGTTTAGAAGTGTGTCAGAGGGCAGGAATATACCTTATTTTGCAAATGACTAACACTAATCCTGACCTCCAGGTAAGGAAAAAAAAACTTTTTTGTACTCCTTTTCATGTTGCAGGGTATGGTAACATAAAATGTCATTATAAGAAACTAGAAACGCTTCATAAAAATTGCTGTATCCACTTCTGTAATATGCTTTTTATTTAATACTGTATGGCTACATGATGAATTAGACACATGTGCAACATCTAGGTATTCTCTATTTTCTTTGTCTTTCAACAAACTGGCTGTATCTAGTTGTACTATAGCTCATTCTAGCTCAAAACATAGACTCCACAAAAGTCATTATATTAGACCTTAGTGCAATTACAAGTGAGAGTCTTGTTCTATTTTAAATTTGTATTTTTATATTACTAGTTTATACCTAGTTGTACTTTAGTTCATTCCAGCACAGCACATAGACAACATCAACTTCATTATGTGTAGTAGTGACTATACTCTATATGACCAAAATACTCTAGCTATATACTTATCCAAGCTTCCCACCACTACAGATATCAGTACTAGAACTCAACACATAACTCAGGATATAAATAACCATAATTTAAACCTAGAAGATGATTGATTACGTTGACCCTGATCTAAACCTCCATAATCTGACACCCAATCAAAACCTATTGGAAAGTAACTGCCTTTATTACACAGCATCACAAGCCAGCACTATCCTAAACAATGCTAAAAGCTATCAGTACTTAACTACAACATCAGGTCCTTGAGCAAACACTATGATGACCTCCTGGCACTCCTTGAATCACTAAAGACACCCTTCTCCTGCATTATTCTTACTGAGACCTGGCTTAAGCAGGACACAATAGATATCTACCCTCTACCAGATACCAGCAATTCACAACTGCAGACCAAACCAAGTTGGGGGTGGTATTGCAATCTATTACTCTAACCAATTATCTTGTATTAGCACCACTTGCTTAGTGATGAATATGGGGAATACATTTTTGCTAATTTTACTGTAAAAAACCTTAAGACACCTATAACAATCGGTGCCATCTACCGGATACCTCACACAAACATCCCAAATTTCAGTGAGAAATTAAAGTCACTAATAACAAACAGACAAATGAATAAGCACCACCTTCTCTTAGCTGGAGACTTCAACATCAACCTTGGCTTACTAGATGATCAGCCTGTAACTGATTTCATCAACAATATGAACAACACACTTCTCATACCAACAATAACTAAAAACCAACCAGGCTCACTGAGACAAGTGCAACCATAATAGACCACATATGGACCAATATACTAGCCCCCCTTAAATCAGGGATAATCACAGATAGCACTACGGACCACTACCCTACCTTCCTCCTGACAAATATTAATAAACCACCACTTGAATACAACAAAGTCTCATTTAGACTCCATGACGAGGCCTCAATAAGGAAGTTCACAACTGACCTAGAGATTGTTGACTGGCCTACAGAATTCTCCAAGCCAATGGTATGAGACTGGACAGACATTTTTCTTAACAAATTACTTAGACTATACAACAAACATTGTCCTATAAAAACGAAACAGATCACAAACAAACGGCTTGGTTGCCCATGGCTAACCAGCACCATTCTGAAATCCATAGACAAGAAACACCAATATGAAAAACAATATAGACAGGGCTTAATACACAAAGATATTCTTAAACACTATTCATCAGTTCTCACCAAAGTAATAAAGAAAGCCAAACAACTATACTACTCCAGTAGATTCACAGACACTAGAGGAGATATAAAATAGACCTGGAAAACACTCTCTCAGATTCTAGGGACCCACAAACTGAAAAAAACCGAGAATATTGTCTAACTTAAACCTAATGAAACACCACTACATCCCACTGACACAGCTAAAAAAGATAAACGACTTCTTCTCAACCATAGGATCTAATCTCGCCAATAAAATCCCACATACTAATGCCCATGCGGGGACTACCTAGATGGGAATTTCCCAAATTCCTTCTATCATTGCACCAACTGAGCCCTCGGAAGTCACCGAGATTATAAAGTCACTTAAAAACAACTTAGGGAATCTGTCTAATGTCCCACCATTACTGTACAAGCGAGCGGCCCATATCCTTTCGCATGCTATTTCATTACTTTTTTAACAAGTCCCTAGAAACTAGCACCTTCCCGAAACTACTCAGATGGCAAGGGTTACACCAATACAGAAAGGTGGTGACCCTACAGACTTAAACAACTATAGGCCAATATCAAACTTACCATTGCTATCCAAAATTTTTGAGAAACTCGTGCACAGGAGACTATATTCATTTATAACAGCACAAAACATACCAACCCCTGCCAATTTGGATTTAGGAAAAATAAAGCCTAATGATGCAATCATAAAAATGCTAGATCTGCTTTACACAGCATTGGAAAATAAGGAATATCCACTAGGAATTTTTATAGACCTAAGAAAAGCTTTTGACACAGTAGACCACGACATCCTACTCCACAAACTTGACCATTACGGTATAAGAGGCCATGCGCTTGCTTATTTCAAATCTTACCTTACTAATAGGTATCAGTATGTTACCATTAAAGACACAGCATCAACAACATGGCCACTTGATACTGGAGTTCCGCAGGGAAGTGTCCCTTGGTCCCCTGCTCTTCTCATATAAATCAATGATCTTCCAAATGTATCCCAACACCTGGAAACCCATTCTCTTGCTGACGACACGACTTATGTCATCTCTCACCCTAATCTTGCCACCCTCAAACCATTGTTAATGAGGAGCTGATCAAAATATCGACTTGGATGACAGCCAATAAACTTACGCTTAACACTGACAAAACCTACTATATTAATGTTTGGTAGCAGAGCAGGAGATGCACAAATTAACATTAAGATCGACAACACTCTAATTACCAGACATAATGAGGGCAAATTCCTAGGCCTATACCTTGACAGCAACCTGAATTTCAGCACCCATATCCAACACATAACCAAAAAAGTATCCAAAACAGTTTGGGATCCTCTCCAAGATACAATACTACGTGCCGCAAAATGCCCTTCTCACACTATACCACTCACTTATTTATCCATACCTCACCTATGCTATTTGTGCTTGGGGATCAACTGCAGCAACACACCTAAAGCCAATAATAACCCAACAAAAAGCTGCAGTAAGAATATCACTAAATCCCATCCCTGGCAACAAAACCCCCCCACTCTTCATAGATCTAAACTTATTTCCCTGTTCAGTACATCCACACTTACTACTGTGCAATCTACATCTACAGGACCTTAAACTCCAATATCAACATTGACCTAAAACGCTTTCTTGATAGTTGTGACAGAACCCACGGGCATAACACCAACACAAACATCTCTACGATATTCCCCATGTCCGACAAACCTTTACAAAAATTCAAGTATGTCAAAGGCCCTAAAATCTGGAACACCCTACCTGAGAACTCTAGAACTGCAGACACATTTATCACCTTCAAAACTACCATTAGAAAACATCTTATCTCCCTGATAAACCCCATCAACTAACTACACGAATACCACCTGGGGTTCACACTTACAAATCACTCACCCAATTTGACCATAAACAGAAATATTAATCTCAATCTTAAAATAATGAATCCTATGAACTCCAATACGAAACTAGTACTGTGCCAAAACAAAAGCATTCAAATTGCTAAACTCACAAACTAGTATTTAGTCACTTAGCCATAATACCAACTTACCTCATAATTTGTAATATTTTAAAATAAAGAATTAAACTAAGTCTGCCCGAAATGCCTAGCCATGCTAGGCGTTCTAGTGGTACACTCTGTAATCATTATTTAACTACATGTAAACCACACAACAACCAAATTCTGTAAATTCAACATTGTAATCTTTATAGAGAATAAACTTTGAATTGAATTGAATTGAATTGAATTGAAGCAGGTGGCCCAAAAAGAAAAAACAAAGTTTCTCTTTTTAACTTTAGTAATGTATACACGAGAAGGTGTTACTAACCTCTTGCTCCTGGCATGTTAGTTGCCTCTTATAACACACATGACTTACAGAGGAAGAATTCTGTTCTACTTCCCCCATGGAGATAGGAGGAAATAAACCATAACAAGAACTAGTAAGAAAATAGAAGAAAACCTAGAAGGGTGTGTATATATATGCTTGTACCTGCATGTTGAGTGTGACTTAAGCATAAGTAGAAGTAGCAAGATGTACCTGAAATATTGCATGTTTATGAGACAGAAAAAAGACACCAGCAATCCTGCCATCTTTCTTTCAACACACCGGCCGTATCCCACCAAGGCAGGGTGGCCCAAAAGGAAAACCGAAAGTTTCTCCTTTTACATTTAGTAATATATACAGGAGAAGAGGTTACTAACCCCTTGCTCTCGGCATTTTAGTTGCCTCTTACAACACACATGGCTTATGGAGGAAGAATTCTGTTCCACTTCCCCATGGAGATAAGAGGAAATAAACAAGAACAAGAACTAGTAAGAAACTAGAAGAAAACCCAGAGGGATGTGTGTATATATATGCTTGTACATGTATATGTAGTGTGACCTAGGTGTAAGTAGAGGTAGCAAGACGTACCTGAAACCTTGCATGTTTATGAGACAGAAAAATGAACACCAGCAATACCACCATCATGTAAAACAATTACAGGCTTCCATTTTACACTCACTTGGCAGGACGGTAGTACCTCCCTGGGCGGTTGCTGTCTACCAGCCTACTGCCTGGGGTTCTCTATTTTATTATAAAATAAAAAATATATTTATGGATTGAACTTTGCTTATCAGATCATTATTTAGCTGTAATAAGATCATTATTTAGTTGTAGCTACAGTTAGAGTAAGAAGTAGATTGGACAAAAGGAAAATGGCAACAGCAAGTAAGAGAGAGGTGAAAGTTTATAAATTAAGGGAGGAGGAGCCTAAGATATAAGCAACTACAGTGGCACCTTGGTATATGTCCTTAATTTGTTCCAGGACCTTGGACTTATACCAAACAGGACATGTACCAAACAAATTTTCCTGTAAGAAA